TTTGGGTTGCTTCCCTTCATTTGTTATGGTTTAAGAGCCGGACCATAACACTACTCAGACATCAAGGAGAACGAGAAGAGAAAGTAAACCTGAATCTGCTGCCATGAGGAGAGTGTTTTTCATTTATTAGGTTTATTTGATAGGGACAGACACATATCTGATAGGTATTTTTCTTGAACCTTCGTAAAAGAAACACAGACAACGTATATGAATTTTATGGCCAAGCTTTTGCAAAAGGAGAAGACTCAGCAAACTGCTCCTCCAAGCTGTTCAGTGAGCGCTCTTAAGACCTTTGGTTACAGATTTGCCTTTTATTATCAAGCAAAAAGAGGGAGGATAGGTAAGGAAGACAGCAGAGACAAAATATTACTGCACACAGACAGTTTCTAAGATAGGGAGTATTCCGGTTGATAAGGAGGCACCTGTGGAAACGTAATTTAAGGTCTGGGAAACACACAGTTAACTGTTTCACATGAAGACGAACAGGCAGATGGGGCCTCCAGGTCAGAGAACACTTTAAACTGAAAATCACAATAATACTGAATGTTGATTAACTATTGGATTAACATTAGACTGATTATGAACTAAAGTAATAACAAAATGATAATACCAAAAAATCTCTAACAATATCGACATAGACAAACTGAGCAGAACAGCAGTCCCATGTTTGCGTCATAGTGCAGTAGCAACAGCTAATTGCAGCACTTGTCCCTAGATGGGCTTTTAAACGGCAGCTCTTAAAACTAGTAAAAATTTAAGTAATCATTTAAAATGGCACAATGTAATGTTGATAACATATACACAAACAGTGAATCATAAAACAATTAAGTTTCGATACACTTCTGTTTTTGATGTAACCAGAGTTTTGTTTGTGACTGGATGTGTTCATACAGACGGTTCTTGGTTAAATGGAGATGGAGCCGAGAGGAAACTGTTTTTTCTAGGATTTTGGAGATGAAAGGAAGGTTAGAAATAGAGCGGAAATTATTGAAATTATTTGGATCCAATCCAGGTTTTTTAAGGATAGGAGTAACAACTGCAATTTTGAAGGTAGTAGGAACGATTCCAGATGAAAGAGACGAGTGGATGATGGCAGAAACAACTGGGAGAAGGGAAAAAAATCTCTGTTAGCAAAAAATGCCCTTGAACAAAAACTAAACATAACATTGAAGGTACTGGTTGTCCTTCCTGTCAGATCTTCATACTACCAAAGTGGAAATAAGAACTACATTCAACCAAAAGAGTACAGATTATGAAGTCTGTATACTATATTGTCCTTCAATAATCATGAGACTTAGACAGAGAAGATGGACATATCTGACTACCTGATGCAATAGTTCACTCCTCGCTTACCTAAGGAAATGAGGAAGGGAGGGTCAGTGGAGCGAACTGGAGTTGAGTCTTTTTTCATCCAGTGTCATGAATAGAAAGAGAAAAAGGCAGGAAGAAACGATAAAGCCAATAAATTAAAATCAGGTCGATAATTTTCATTTTCATTCGATTATTTGATTTATTGTTACAGCCCAATTCATCTGTTTTTGTTTTTTTAACAGGAGAATCAGAGAAGAAGTAGACCCACCAGTCCTGATTCTCCATGAATGATGAGACCACCATTATGCATCAGCAGCAGAACATTATGACCACCAA